CTCTAATTATGCTGCAAAATGTGGATCTGAATATTATTTAACAAAACTTTTAGGAAACATTCGCCGGCTATTTATTGTTTACGATCGCGGTGCTGGTGAGGTAGGCTCTTACCCAATAGGCGACGTGGATTTGGCTGACGTGCTCCGTTTCCGCGGATGCATCGTAGTGAAAAGGCGAAGGAAAGAAGGCGCAAAAGAGTCCAGTTTTCTTTTAAAAGTTCTATAGCAAATAACTTTTTTTGGCTCCCTATTTTTGTGTTTTCGTTTCTTTTCATACCTTTTACGACGTGCGGTGGATGAAACTCGATCTTAAAATCATTTCATGGTCCCTTTAAGGGTCAGTTTCCCATCATGTCAGTCAGCAAACAAATAATGACACAAAACTCTGGACAGCTACCGCCATCTATAATTGACGGCGGCAACCAGACAACCGGCTTCCCGGTTGTCTGGTTGTCGCCGTCGCGCATTGATGGCGACAACCTCTCCTGTCTTTGCACTCTGGCTTGCCGACTTGCGGCCGGCCCATTACTTCATTCCCACCATAGTACAGCTTCGCTGGTGTTCCTTCTTCACCAAGGTGGAAAGGCTGAAAGTATTCCTGAGGAATTGCCTCCTCCGTTTGTGAGAGCTAAATCCACTATTTTATTTGTCACTTGTTAGCAGCAACCCTCCATTGCTTTTTTTTTTTTTTTTTTTTTTGCACCCCGCGAAGTTTAAAGCGGTCATCAAATGATATCGGGTTGGAATGTTCATGAATTTTCAGAGGCCTATTCGTCCTAGTCTGACCCAAGTATACTCGCACAGGCCGCCACTGATTCAGAAGTTCCCTTGTCACGGTGGAATTACGAGAATAAAAGGGAACTATATCTTTCAGTATTGTCTTCGCAAAGCTTGACGACGTAATTGGGGGATCGAAACCACCCGCCTGACAACAGTCGAGCGCGGCTCATGGATGAGACACGAGAACTGCGTGAGCACTGTACATCGGCTCGTAACAATCAATGCCTCGGCGGACACTCGGGTAGTGGCTTGTGTCCAACCACTGCGGTGATGAGATTAGCCGAACTCTAAAAATGCCTGGAGCTCCAGCAGGCGTTTTCTTCCTTTCCAACCCCACCACGGGGGCATGATTAACGTTGGCGGCCTCAGATAAGTACCAGGCCAGGAGGGCGCTTCTGGCTCCGAGTTGAGGGGATCAACGATGCTCATATTTCTCTAATTTTTTGGCCACTGCCATTGCCTAAAAAAAGAGCAAAGCCAAGTTTATTTAGTTATAACGTTAGGAAGTGATTTTAAGCAGCGTTATGTGAATGTATAGAAATATTTTAAGCAAAATACAGAGGTGGTAGAAACCTTGAGAACGACGCTCGTGTGAGACTTAGGCCGTGTTCCAAAATTTACATGATCTTACTCCAGAGTAAGGGTTTTGTTTTCTGGCGTTCCAAAACCTAGCCGCGTCCAGCACTTTTCAATCTGTGATGTCACGTGACATGACCCGCGGGAGTAACTCGGATCCATTTTGGTAAGATTTGGAACACAGCCTTAAAGCGACTGCCAATGTTCGGCTCTCCCTCTGAGGTCAATATTTTTTTTTCTGTTTTTCTTTCAAGTATTGTTTTCCGTACAGTTCAAAAATTGGGCAGGCGATCGAACTATAGGGGGCGTTCTTACCCGTTTGTTTCCCCACACCTAGGTGTTTACTCAACACAAGGCCTCTGCACGTGCACACAGGCCTTATGTGCATGTCCATGTCATCTTCTACAATAGAGCGCAAGGCACAGTTTAATGTAAAAAATACTAACAATCGACGAAGCGACGTTAAGTGTCGGATCTATCCTCAGAGAATGTGAGCTGGGCCCACTTCGGCTTTTGTGCTGAGCTGGGACCATGCATGCTGCATTGTTCATGCAGGCCGGAGTGGAAACAAAAGAGCCCCCCCAAGCAGCACAGAGTTGTCCAGTCATCGGCCAGTGGCTGGCTGTGGTCCTTGGCCAAGTGGCCAGACAGTGGCCAGAGACTGGCCGGTGACTGGCCTTTATCTGGCCATTGGCCAATGGCCACTGGCCATCAGCCATCGGCCAAGCATTGGCCAATGAATGGCCACTCTCTGGCCACTGGCCAAAAGACCATCGCCAGACATTGGCCATTGCTTGGCCAAAATCCGTGGTGCTTGTCCCCTTCCTCACCGGAGAACACGAACTCCAGCCGAACGCTGACGCCGCGTTCGGTTATGTCGGCCGAGCGCTGAGTCATTGTATTTATTGTCCCCATCCGTGTAGTTCTAAAGTTAACCGCATGGTGCGTCACGGTCACTCCTCCTCCCCAATAACGAAAACATTTTTGGGTGCTTCAATAATGTAAAATTGGTCGTGCAACATTTGTTTTTGTACTTTCAATAAATACTGTTAAGAAGTAACCCCTGACGTTGATAGCTTGCGAAAAGAAAAAAAAATAGCAGATGCAAAATAAAATAAAGAAACAAATAGCTGTCGATCCCCTCCTCAACTCGCAATTTGAACAAGCAGCCACGTGATCTGACGCTAATTATATACCGTTAGTGTTCATCATAGTCATGCGCTAGGGTCTAGAAAGCAAAAGCTTGGGCTGGAGCTTCAGATATTGTTAGAGTTGGGCTATTATCATCTTTAATTGAACACAAGCCGCTGCCCGAATGTTCGGCGATGCTGATTGGCATGAACTTGAGCACTCGATTCGGGGCTATGAAAATTGTTTACGTCACGGTGTCACGTGACTCGGTGCAAAATCGTGATATCATGTTACGTCACGCTGTCAACAAGGTTAATACATCTAGTGACTTTCTCAAATTAAATCGACTTGACGCAGTGAGTCACGTGACGTCACAGGGTCACGTGACATTACTTGACAGCATGTATTGACACCATGACGTCACGTGACAACATGACACATGGTTAATCATAGCGCCAGTACAAAAGCGCCACGAAAACCCACAGTTTACCATACATTGCAATTCTGTATGTGACAATTCGAACAATAGATAGAAATACAGCCGCCAATTTCATATTCCCATATGTTCGTTTTGTGATACTAACAAAAACGAAAAAAGAATACCTTGAACCGTTTTGAACCGGTTACCGTTATATTTTTTTTCGGTTCGGTTCCGGTTCAGTTCCAAGATGGCGGCGAAGATTTCGGTTCGGTTCAGTTCCGGTTCGGCTAAAAATAACGGTTCGGTTCCGGTTTTCGGTTCGGTTCGGTTCCGGTTCGACACCCTGGTTCTGATGAGTATCAAAGAAGGGGTAAGCAGGCTAAACAATGTGCGTGCACCAAATTGACACGCACTCCAAACATGCGACAGACACTAAAAAAAAACAAAAAAAACTAACAGTTTTCCTTAAAAGCTTAATTCTTGGTTTATCAGCTAACAGCATAAATGAACCAAGTATGGAAGTTATATGATACAATTTTGACTCGCCATATTGAAGAATTTGAAGCCCAAATTAGCGCCTGCACTCTCGCCTTCGGTCTTCATTGGACTACTGTGGTTGGAGCTTTTTAACATTTTATGCAGTATAAACCAACTACCCGAAATCGAAGTTGAATACAAAGAATATCATCGCATGCCCACAAAACAATTTTGTTTTTCGTAGAACGCTAGTCCGATTGGCATATGGGAGAAATGAAAAAAAAAAACAAAAAAAAACACCAAGTCATATGTTTAATCTCTCATAATCTCGTTTCCTCTGGTTCATGATTCATCCATTCGCGGTTGATTTGCTAACTGAAAACGTACCATCAGATAAAAGGCGGAAACGTGCTTGTTTGTAAGCACCGAGTTGTTGAATATGCTTTGTGGATTCGCAACGCGCGAATCATGAATCAGGGAATTGCAGTTCACATTTGATCTTGTGCTTTCTGGCCAGGTGGAATTTCGTAATTTTATTTTCAGAAACGCTTTATGTTGCAACAGCGTATTGCTCGTGCCATGTTATAAATTCGGTTGTATGCTGTTGATAAATGTAGTCGTCAGTGTAACCGATTATTAAATCTTTAGAAGTCATATCACCACAACCTTTAGATCAGGGGTCAGCAACCCGAGGCCTGCGAGACAGTATTACGCGGTTCCCGGCACACTACCAGTAAATACCCTCCCCCTTCCCACCCCTGAAAACACACACTCCAAGGCCAATGATGCAAAACCAGTGTTGGCGGTAACTCGTTACAAGTAGCGGCGTTACCGGTAACGCGTTACTTTTTTTGGTACCGTAGTAACGTACTCGTTACTTTTCCAAAGAATTAACGGGTAACGTACTTACGTTACTTATTTTGAGTAACGTGTAACGAAATTACGTTACGTTACTTTACTTCCTAAAACTTAAAAAAATGATTTTTAATTTTTTTTGTGCGTTGTTAAGTGCTCAGTCATAAATTCCTTAGTGAAAAAAATGCCGCTGTCCTCGACTTTTCTTTGACGTCGGCGCTCGTCAGATTTGACGTCGCAAGCCACCTGCCACTGGTTTTCTCCCGCGCCTCGTTGACCTCGCTACCGCCGTCGCCTCGGCTGGAAGGCCAAAGAGGTCCGGCTTCGGGTGGATTAGGGAGATTCCTGCGTCGAAGCCTGCGTCTCGCTTCCCGTTTCCTATGTTATTAGTCAGCTTCATATATACTTCCGCGTTTCTTCTTGTAACTATTCGGGTGAAACCCTAAAAAAGAGAGGGTAATTAAGTTTCCGCATGGACATATTTTAGCTATGGCGCTTACGCACATATCAAACGTCAAAACAGCAAATGTTTTAATTCGTGAATAAAAAGTAACGCAACAGTAACGTGCGTTACTTTTTATCAGTAATGATAACGGTAACGCGTTCCTTTTATTTGAGGTAACGTAGGTCGGTAACGCGTTACTTTTATTTGCAAGTAACGAGTAACGTATTTAGTTACTTTTTTTGGTAATGCATACAACACTGTGCAAAACCTATAAATAGTTGCAAGAGTGGTGTAATTGAACCTGCTAATTTTAAAATGGCACTCCTCAGGGTCAGTTAATTACTCAGCTTCATTGTAATAATATTCGCCAATTCGTCGTAGCTATCATAAATTTATTTATAATTACGAAATGTAGCGCCTTTTATTTCTACGGTTTTGGCGAACAGAGACTTGCCATGTACTACACAAAAGCGGCAAACACTTTTCTGTTTCTTTTGCCTACGTAAAGGCAGAGCCTTCCTCATCCTGATTGGCTGTTAGACTTATCATTGTTCGCTGATATTTGAGATCGTCCTAATGGCCGGAGCTTAATATTAGAAAGAAATGAAGAACTCTGGGTGGCATGGACTCAGACATGAACATTTTTGTGCTAAAGCTCGATATCTCCCAACACCAAAAATTTACACCAGCAAGGAATTTCTGTGCTCTTCCTTTTTTCTTTTTGCTGAGAAATGTTTAGGAGGAACGAGCATACTGTTTTATAAAGAAGTGTATGAATGATAGTGCTCGAAATTAATAAGGTCGGAGTCTGAATCCCTGACTTTGCGATATACTCGAACAATATCTACATTTAAGAAATTTTCTCAACACAGATATCGACCGGGTTCCGGAGGCTTACGAGATACAATTTGCGGGTCATCTGATGACGGAACAAATAATGATTTGTAGGATGTATTTCCAGTGAACGTCTTCGTCAAATTTTACAATTGCATTCTAGAACCAAAGTTTTCAAATCTTGGACGATCGCAGCAGGTCTGACAGCAAGGTCCTTGTATAATGTAGATTGGCAAACATATTTTGTTTCGAGATAGAGACCGTAAAGTCCCATTTTTGTGTGCGAATGACAAATGACCTTGCACCTCCAGAAAGTTTTACCACTCTCTGGTGCTAGCTTTGATGTCCGGCATTATTAAATATCAAAACTCCTACTCAGCGGGGTCTTGAGAAATCTTAGGTTACATGTGCTTAAATCAAGAAAGTATTTGAGCATAATTGAAGGGCCGAATAAAGGGACAGAGCAGGAATTGACTGCAAGACAAGGCGCGCACGCAACTCACGTTTTATTAGTTGAACATTAAAGTGAATACCATAAGAACACGATATTTTCAGCATGTTAACTCTCGTTTTAAACATAAAAATGTCTTATCAATCAAGGTCTAGGAAGTCCCACTGACAAAAATTTAGCACCCCTTGTTTTGATTGCGTAGTCTTCGCGAATTGACCTTGTTTTTTTTCGCTGCCACCTCAAAACTGCCTTGTCAGAAAAAAATTGAATGCTATCACACCGGTTGAAGTGGACTGCTAATCGCGTTTATAGTGACAATTTCCACGTCCCTTTTATCATAGGGCAATCTTTACTCTAATTTGCAGCCCTCATTACAACAACCCCCCTTCCTGCCCAAACGGGCCCTCTTCCTGCCCCATTATCAGCGATTCTGCCCGCTGCAAACATGGGTTGCCGAACCGTGCTATATACCTTTTTCACAAGGGGGCCACCATCTTGAAATATTACCACTTCCAGTATGGGCGAAACAATGTTTCGCCGCTGCCACGCCAATAGAATACATTTAGGATATAAGCATAACCATCACCCTTTCTCGTGTTGTCACACTGCTATTTTTGTAGTATTTGGAAATTGAAATATTTTAATATTTTTAGTATATTTTCGTTTCCAACACAGGCTATAGCTACCATGTCGCTAGACGAGAGAGAGTAAGCGAAAAATATCTATAGAAAAAACGCCCTTTCTCAACACTCCCGACCGAGTTCACTCCAGGGTTGACAACTTGCGTAAAATTAAATTGATTCATGCTTCATATTTATGTTTTCGTAAATTGCACCTTACAACTTGCAATTGCTGAACGGAATTTATGGATAAATGCGATCGTTGCAAACGTGATAACCGATGAGTTTATCGAAATGCTTATGCCTTTGTGACAGTATAATAATATTTAGAATTTTGTTATGATTTATACACCTGTCATTCGCTAAATTATGCGTGGCCTATGCTTTGTTATTTGAGTGCTTCGTACTGTTTTGAAATAACAGATAAATTCTATTCATACCATTCATTGTGAAAAAAGCTGAAACCGGATATAAGGGTATTTCAAGGGACACTGACAGGGTATTTGTGGTCACCAAGGTTTTTAGTTGTTCGTGACATATGAGAGCTCAACTTTCCAGAGCAGAATTCGCTGCTCGAAATTCGTTTTCTTTCCGTGAAAACCGTCGATCGAGAACTGGCCGATCTGAGTCGCGAACTCCCTCTTCCCCGTGGTCACGGGACGTTTTCTAAGGTATTGACCAAATTACCAAATAAAATCAAAGTCGTAGGTCATCGAAGGCACGCACACAATATTAAAATAGTAAATAAACATGATAACTATTTTTGGGGGGTTCAAAAATGCTGTAAATGCGTGTTATGGTAGAAGAAAGTATCACAGTCACGTGACTTCGCCACCTCTCTCCTCCTCTATAGGAACCGTGCGGATCTAAATCAATCCCCGACCAGGGCGCCCCTAGCGGCAAACGGGTCCGTTGTATCGGGCATCTTCTGCCAGTCGCTGCGTTGGTTGTGCGTTATAATGGGTTAGCGCTGTAATTTCTGAGATGGCTATTCCGCACCAAGAAAGCCGCAACAAGTGCTGCGTGGTCGGCAAGATCGCGCACGGCACGAAGTACTGCATCGTCCCTTCGAAGCCGTATGAGGCGGAGTACTGCGCGACCTGGGTACGACTTGTGCGTCCATACAGGTTAGTGGTGTTTCTTACCTTCCAGTTCGCGCTTTGTTTAAGCTGCTGACTAATAATACAATTAACTTTCTTTTTTTCTAGCGAAGATGGAACAGCATCGACACCGACGGCAAACTCTAAAGTATGCAGCAAATACTTCACCGGAATCAAAAAGCGGAATGCGGTCGCCCTCCTAAGCCTACCATTGGATGTTTCCATCAGCCTACAGGAAGATAGTAAAGAGAATCGCAAAACGGCGCGAAAAAAAATCGCCCAGTTATTGTCAAGCTGATTCAGAAATAAACGTACATAATTACTGCAGTCCACTCAACGCCAACAAAATTTTTTTTGCTGGCGCGCTTAATTTTGTTTGCAGAGTACGGCGCTCCGTGACATCCACTTGTCCGTCGATCGAAACGGACCTCCTTCACGTCGCACACGCGGCCAGGTTCATGAAACAGTTTTCTCTTCGTCATATTGGCACCACGGAAGCTTTCTGGATTCGTAACCGCCTTAAACCCCGTCGTAATCACCCCGGGAACACTGTCCGCTGTGCTGCTAATCGCCACTGCTTCCCCCCGATGATTCTGCACCGGCTACCGAAGAAGCTTTCCGGATTCTTAGTCGCCCACTGTCCTCTGTGCTGTTCGCTGCCATTACTTCGCGATGATTCTGAGCCGGCGGCACCGGCTTCCGAAGGAACCTTCCGAACTCGTAACTGCCTTAAATTCCGTCGTAATCACGACGGAGACACTGTCCGCCGTGCTGTTCGTCGCCATTGCTGCCCGATGCTCCTGCGGCGGCTACCGCCAGGTCGCGGCGAACAATAGGCGACCGCCGCGACACGGTCGGCTTGCTCGCTTCCTATATTTCTTTTTCCTCCCCGGTCAAGTTTCGGTTTCGGTTCCGGGCCCTTGCGGCTTTTTTTTTTTTTTTTTTTTTTAGTTTAATTAAGATATACGTGACGCTGCAGCAAAATTTTGCTTTAGTAGTCTTCTGACACCTTAATATATAACCTGGCAAAAAACAAAAAGTCTCGGGGTGTCAGTTTCTTTTTAAATAAATAAGCAAGTAAGTAATAAAGCACTGAACTAGAGCAATGTTGTTTCTTTTTTATTTCGTGATTTCTCTACACTTTTTTCGTTAGTTGTTTAACGCAATAAATTTCATATACCTAGTTGTGTATTCTCCGTCCTACGAAGCTTTCAATAAATAGAAATGCCGCGGAGCTTATGCATCTGCGAAAATAAAAAAAAAAAAAAAAACAATTAAACTTTATAACGTCAGCATCACTTTTTTCTTCATGACATCTTCTACCAGGATGAGGAGGAGTATCGACGAAAGGCACTTGCATGCATGCAGAAATACTCCCTTGCTGTGAAGTCACTACACCCTGTGAGTTCAAGCTTTTCTCGTAAACTATAACACCTGCAAGGAGGTAATCCTCTCTGCCCGTCTCTTTTCTAATATACGAAGTGTGCTAGCAACATTATCTTAGAGCCTACTGATTCAATCTCTTAGAGCAGATTGGGTTCCAAGAAGTGCAAGCACCATACTGCCAAAAGGCATGACGATTATTGCACCTTCGGGTTTACCGGAATACACCAGGTTCTAAACGTCTTTAGTAGTGAAAGATTAAAAGGGTCGTGAAACGTTTTTTACAAAATTCTAAGCTATATGCCATTTTGGAATCATTGTCCTTTATTAAAAATCAATCAATAAATCAATCTGTGTTTTGTTGCGCCCCAAACAGCTGGCAAGGCCCTAGGAGCGTTACACTTGAACAAAGTGAAAGAGAATCATACGAAAATATTTGCACACTACAAAGTTAGCCTCAAATTACACTTTTTAAAAAAGAAAACATGCAATGGTAGTGAAAAGGTTCATGTCAGGGTGAAAACACTTGTCATACATGTTCTGCATCCGAGTCAGAGGAAGACTGGCTTTTAAGTTAGGTGGGTAAAAATAAACCGTATACTGTTTTCCCGCTGGGGAACATGAAGTAATATTTTATTCAACAACAGGGTGTAGTCCAAAACAGCCTTGAGCAGTTTATATAAATGCACATGACGCGCACCAGTCGTCTATTCGAAGCAGGTGAACGACTAAGTATATCCAAGAAACGCACGCACCATAAAAAAAGATTTCCGTCAAATGTAGCGATCATAGACAATTCTTACAAATCCTCGCTGAATACACTCTAACCTTAGCATTTCACTGACGCGAAGAGAATTCCACACAGTAGAAGAAAATTTTAACCTTGGCGAAACTAACGACCGAAAGAGGTTTAATATGCAGGTGCGACCGAGGAAAATACCG